GGCTTGAGTCGTCAGTCTGGAGTTCTTCTTCTTTCACCTGTGTGCTAACCTCCTCCCTGTGTCGCACCGTTCCCTCTTTCTGTTTTCACTGTTCCTAGAATAATCCTGTCACTCATCTTCTCTAAAATTTCCATCCTGTTTTTATACTTTCCGGAAATTTTCCTCAACTTTAAATTCTATTAAATCTTGGCAATGCCACTGGGTCGCGGGCTCCCTGCCTGCTGAGCTCTCCTCCAGTGCCTGGACGCAGGAGCCTGTCCTCTGGAGACACTCCACCTCTCCAGCTGTTGCACCCGCCCTCTGGGTCGCTGCAAGCCCACCTCTGGCACCGTGGACAGACTTCTAGTTATTGGTGTTCTACCCTCACAAATGGGACTGACATGCGTTATACACACATACACATACACGTATGTTCACATTTACAATAATCTTTTAACTGGGAATATGTGAGAAGTCTTGAATTTGACTTGTAGACACAGTAAGACTAACCAAGGGAAAGAGAAACTGAGGCACATCTGAAATCTAGAGCATGCTGAGAAGGTGTTCACTGCTCATGGACCTATACAGTAACAGGAAAACACGGGAAAGAACCTAAACGCCTGCTTTTTTTTAATGTTTATTTCTTTACTCATGAGTGAGAGAGGCAGGGGAAGAGACAGACATGAACACCTCTGATGGGGTCTTCCCAGCACGGCCCGCCCCAAGCTTCAGCTGGCCTGGGTCTCAGGCACTGCGTGCCCAGCATGCTCAGGGCTCTGATGCAGCCTGCGACCTCCCATGGGGTCGGCCTCACACAAGCTGGCATTAACACTGCCACTGTAGGGCCCCTCCAAATGCCTTTCACCAGGAGCTAGGTGAATAGACTGGGATAGCTAATTCGAGAGTCAGAAATGTGCTCACTTAGAAGGGGATGTAAGCCATGCCACGAAGTGGGAAGAAGGCTGGGTCTGCACTATGTCGCGAAGCCCTGCCAGGTCAGTAGCTAGCGCAGTGCGACTTACACGGAGAACTGTGTGAGGCCAGCACTGTCACCGAGCCCCCCCCCACACACACACACACTGCTATCGGGCTACAAGTGCCCAACTATGGACCTGGTTGGTGGTGTTTTTGGGCTTTTTCAGTTCTCTTTTTCTTTTCATTCATGATAGAGTCCATGTATGTGCATGTGAGAGAGATGAGCACCTGGCACAGCGTCTGGTCACACCACGATGCCCTTCCTCTAGCCTACTGGATCTTGGGTAGTTGCATACATGTTTCAGGCCTACTTGGCCAAGAGTTTGAACCATGATCTCCCTGGAGGATCTGGCTTCTTCGGAGCAGGGCACTATCTCTGAGCCCTAAGGCCAGCCATCAAGTAGATCATTTATCTGGGTTATCTTGTTCCGACTATGTGCTGATGAATTTGGCTCTCTTCCAAATCTTGGCTGTCACCACCTGGACCAGCTGACACCAATGCCTGAACGCGAGCAGTAAACCTGGCAAGCCTAGAATCAGCGGGCACAGAGCGGCCAACCTCCCCCACTGAGCACGTGCCCGTGGTCATTCACTATGAGCAGGGTGCCCTTGAATTCCTGAGAGCAGCTTTTGGGAACTTCAGAGAAGCTGACGCTGAAAACAGACTACGACCAGAGACTATTCAGACAAGTCTCCAAGAGCATTTACCTCAGTCTCCTTACAACATGAGGCTAACGCTGCCTAGGTCTGTAGAAACCAGACAATCTCCTCTTTTTATTTTTTTTCTTTTTTTGGGGGAGAAGTTTTTGCTATAGGGTGTGTACACTCACCAGAAAGACAGAGAGATAGGAAGTGAGAAATCCCCCCCAAGGGGGAAAGGCCACGCCGCAATCCCTTCTCCTCCATTCTCCTCTCGGGATCTTGGGCACGCACACACACGTGCCCGGCATGAGTTTAAGCCACCGGGTCCGGGACTCGAACCATGGTCTACTACATGGGAGTCCAGCAAGATAGCCTCTTTAAGAATAGGTACTGGGAACCAGCAGTTAGCGTAATGGCTATGTCGCTGGACTCCCACGTAGTCGACCGCAGTTCGTGTCCCGAACCCGGTGGCTTAAAACTCACGCCGGGCGAATGTGCGTGCGTGCCCAAGATCTCGAGAGGAGAATGGAGGAGAAGGGACTGTGGCGTGACCATCCCCCCTGGGGAGTGATTTCTCGCTTTCTGTCTCTATGTCTCTCTGTCTGTCTGGCGAGCGCACGCGCCCTACAGTGAAAATCTCTCCAAAAAAAAAAAAAAGAATAGGTACTGAGGGATCAGCAGTTGACGTAATGGCTATGTTGTTGGACTCCCATGTAGTCAACCACGGTTTGCGTCCCGCACCCGGTGGCTTAAAACACCGGGCGCATGTGCATGCATGCCCAGGATCCTGAGAGGAGAATGGAGGAAAAGAGATTGTGGCATGGCCACCCCCAAGGGGGGTGATTTCTTGCTTTCTAACTCTCTGGCGAGCACACGCGCCCTGTAACAAAAACCTCTCCAAAAACAAAACAAACAAACAAAAAAAAACATAAGACTGATACTCAGTCATTCAATACTAGAGAAAAGTAAAGCGATAATGACACCAAAGGCTGAACAGTAACCGTCTTAGGAAAGTGACTTACCAAATTCTTTTAAATAACTGCTAACTGTTCACTACTGTGGAGACCACACTGCTGTCCACGTTATTACTTTTCTTCAAACCATACATGTACTCTCCATATACTATTCTGTAGGCTAGACACATCACAAACACTTTTACATCAACTTTAGAATGTGCACAGCATGTGATTTTAGAGTAACGAGTTCATGTAGAAATCCATATGAGAGACAAAAAGCAATTTCCATTATATTCAAAATAAATAAAAATAAAATCTCTATCAACTTATGAGAAGTACAATTACTTTTATGAGGATACATTCTTTGACTTCATTCCATAGGCCAGATAGCCCCATCTTCCCTACCAGTCAGATTTAGTCAATCCCTCCCGGTTTCACTGTTTGACTTGATACTTCACTCTGCCTTAAATACTAAGCAGCAACCTTCTCATAGCAGGAGATATTAACACAGGTCATCAAGATACGCAGATTCTGGGACTCCTTGTACAAACCCGTGAATATACTCTTAAGAGTCCAATATTGTGTGACACAGACTATGCATTACATGGCAACAGAAAAGAAAGTACTGGGAAAAATACTGTGATAGAGCTAAAGGGTAAATACTACATTTTAACTAAAAATAAATTGTACCCTTGTTGGAGAAACCAGCTCAGGCCTGAGAGATAAGCCAGAAGAGAAGAATGCAGGAGGAAGTTGAAAGCAATTCCATTCCCAGACGAAAAGCTGCAGGTGCTGCACAGTCAACCAGAAGGAGCTCCAGGCACAAGCTGTGCCTCAAGATGTTGGGTGACATTCCACAAACCAAGAGATTGTCTAAGTACTAACTTAATGACAGCTATCGCTCTCGTACTGAGAGTCCATCCTACAAAGAGTGTCAGGTACACTGCACACCGCTCTGTACAGCTAACGCGCCCACTGCTCATCTGACTGAATTTGGAATAAGCGGGCTCTGCTCTGGTGCAGCTGGGCTTCTGCTCCAACAGAGCTTTAGCCCCTGCTTTAACCTTGTCCTCGTCTCTTGTCTCAATCCTTTGCGATACCCTACGTTCAAGCCCTGGATTTCTCACGTGCCCTTAGATCTAGTAATAACAGAAAGATTTCCAGGCTTCAACAAGAGTCTAATTTTATTTTAAATAATAATAGAGGAAACTAAATTCTAGTTAAAATCAGAATTTGATAATATCACTGCGTTACCTTTATAGAAACTCAACCTGTAGAAATTAAAAGCAAGTGCTTGCATGCCACGGGACGTCCCTTCCATTTACCTTGAAGTCCGTTAAGAATAGAAGTGATTTCTATGGATTTGATATGAGCTGTATCAGAGCTTTTGGCATCAGTAAGGTCCAGTTTGGAAACCATTTCAGGAGAAGGATTCGTATGAAATGGTGGTTTTGACAAGCGTCGAAGTTTACAGGTTTTAGGAGAATATTTTTCATCTTTGTCTTTGTCTAATTTATTCTAGGTTAAAAAAAAAAGAAGTTTCACATTAGCTGTAGTTTATCATGACATTTACTAAAACAATACTAATACCCCTTTTTAAAAAAGTTTTTGCCACAGGCCCTGTGTGCTCACTGGAGAGGGACAGAGAGGGGAAAAGTGAGAAATCACCCTTTAGAGAGAATTCCACGCTGCAAATCCCTTCTCCTCCATTCTCCCCTCAGATTTTGAACATGCACCCAGAATGATTTTCAAAGCCGCCAGGTCCAAGACCTGAACCACAGTTGGACATCTGGGGGTCTAGCATTTTACCATCACATGACCTACTAGCCACTGGTAATACACATTTTCTTAACTCAAAGTTATAGACTATATTGTTAGTTATTTAATATAAGAAGAATATACAGAACCTCTCAAAACAGCCAAAGATTTTATTTAATAAAACGGTACAAGATGAGCAAAAAGGTTATCTGTATCTTTTTTTTTGGGGGGGACAGGTTTCTGATATAGGGCGCATGCGCTCGCCAAAAAAGACAGAAGAGACAGAGAGATAGAAAGCGAGAAATCACCCCCCAGGGAGGATGGTCACGCCGCAATCCCTTCTCCTCCATTCTCCTCTCGGGATCTTGGGCACGCATGCACATGCACCGGGCGTGAGTTTAAGCCACCGGGTCCGGAATGCGAACCGCGGTTAACTACATGGGAGTCCAGCGACATAGCCATTATGCTAACTGCTGGTCCCGAGATTATCTGTATCTTAATAGTGAGAAACAAATTAGCAAAAGATTACCGATTAAGACTAAGAAATCTATAGATTGTTAATAATTAGTATTACAGATTCTTCAAACTGAAATCACGATAGGTTCCTGTTAAATATCCACTAAACAAACAAACACAATTTCAACATGGTCACTTTAAAATCTCTAACATTCTAATTACAAAATGTAGGGTGGGAACAACAAAATCCCAAGGACCTTCCTTCAGCTGACAGAGGAAAAATTCTAAAATGATCTGTTGTAAAATCAAGCCAGAGACAACTACCCTACTTCACTGAGATGAATGTTTCAGGAAGAAAAGAAAATTCTGCTCCAATTGTTTACAAATACACGAACAGAGGCTAACTAATGTAGTTCCTGGAAACTATTTTCAAAATGCATTTTGGGGAACCAGCAGTTGGCATAATGCCTATGTCGCTGGACTCCCATGTAGTCGACCACGGTTTGAGTCCCGGACCTAGTGGCTTAAACTCACACCGGGCGGGTGTGCGTGCATGCCCAAGATTCCGAGAGGAGAGTGAAGGAGAAGGGACTGTGGCGTGACCATCCCCCCTGGGGGGTGATTTCTCGCTTTCTGTCTCTATGTCTCTGTCTGTCTGGCGAGCGCACGTGCCCTATAGCGAAAACCTCTCAAAAACAAACAAAACAAAACAAAAAAAACAGAACACAAACAAAAACTACTTCCAGTAACTAAGAACAAGATTTTCATACTTTCCAGTGAAGACCAAGAGTGAAGATGAAAAGAGGTTTGGGAAGTCCTCAGCGGTAGCTATTATAAACACAGTTTATAGCAAGAAAACAATACCCACTTCAGGGGAAAGCCTTCACTGTCTGGGGTCACGGGCCTGTCTTTTAACAGGAACATGAATAGCTCCACCCTGTGGCTATGAAGACTGAGCTTGAGAAAACTGCTAAGTACTCTACTGTTACAGCTACCACTCAAGACCTAAGAAAGCCACTGAAGAGCTGAGAACTACTCAAAACCTAGTTGAGAGTCTATCTTAGCTTTGATTTGCTATAGGGTGCGTGCACTCGCTGGAGAGAAAGAGAGAAAGCAAGCAAGCAACTCCCCACACCCAGCCCCCCTCAACCCCTGACACAGGGAAAGGCCAAGCCACAATCCTTCTCCATTCTCCTCTTGGCATTTTGGGCATACATGTGCACATGCTGGTGTGTTTTTAAAGCTAAGCCACAGGGTCTGGGACTCAAACCACAGTCAACCATGTGGGATTAAGCTGCCTTAACTACTATGCCACTGGCTGTCCTCAGAGTCTACTTCTAGCCAAACATTTAGACTGAGTCTCAGAATGAATAAGAGTACCTCTGGCACTCATGAAAGTAACAAGAGCTTTCCACAAGAGCTCATCAGTGGGTCCCCGTGGTATTAGGAAGCAGTATGGCCACCAAGGGCTCATGAGCATGTCAAGTCAGCTGGAGATGGCGATAAAGCAGAGCTGTCACAGCCTTCAGGAGACTCCTTTCACAGTAACGGTTTACAGTCCCCATGTCTCTGAGTCAGTACCTCACAGACTCGACTTGGGGACCAGAGGGTAGAAACACTGATATGCACTCATGAGGTCTGGCTGAGGGCCCTCTACGACGCTGGCACTGAAAAGCCTTCTAGTACTATTTTTAAAATACTTTCTGCCACCTCATAAAATCAACTGTAACACAATCCAACACATGATAAGTTTCTATTCCAAGGGAGTGTGACACCATGGGTAACACAAACACACACATATTTAATTACATTATTTAAACAAAAAGCTATTAAGAGGGAATGATACGTAGAAAAGGAAGTACCTACTGAGATCAGCAGGTGTTGGGATGGTTAAAGAAGCAGATTCCCACATGGCCGGCCTCAGTTTGGGTCCCGGCTTGAAAGTCACACTGGCAAGTACACAAAAGTACATGCCCAAAATCCCAAGAGGAGAATGGAGGAGTGACTGGTGTGGCCATACGCCCTGGGGGGTGACTTCTCACTTTCCCTCTGTCTTTCTCTGGTGAGCATATGTGCCCTATGGCAAAAACATTAAAAATAAAATTAAATAAGTACCTACCTTTATTTTCTTTCGATGTTTTATCTTTGGTACATTTTTATCAGCAGGTCTTACTATTTTATCTGCTTTAATCCATTCATCATATCTAAAAGTAAAGGAAATTGACATAAATATGCAATACACTCTGCACAGAAGTAACTATGTAATATTACAGAGAAACGCACATATAAAATCATAACATTTTAAAGGTAAAATGGACCGCGGAGATTGCTTAGTTCGATTTCCTGGCCTAATGAATCAGCTATCAAGGCCCACAGAGAGAGGAAATGACTCGTCCGGGGCGCCGACGACAGCTTCTGGCAGAGCCGGATAGAGGTGTGGTGGCCTCGCTCCTTGCCCAGCACCCGCTGCTCTGCCACAGCCGACGGCACCAGGACCTGCACGGAGTGGTGGGAGGCAGGGGCGGGCTCCACACTTCGTCCTGCTCTTAAGCAGCAGGTGGGTCTTTTTCTCTAGACATTTCAGAAAGATATAGTTCCATGTGGCTTTCTGTAACAGGGAAGTATTCTATTATAACCTATGAACAATTTAAAATCACCTTTTTAAGAAAAAAAAAAAATCACTCCTTTTTTAGAAAAAGTGCCTGCTGACTGAACACCAGAGGGGCAGCAGTCTACAGAGGTCCCTGTCCCTGTCCCTGCGACACTGGTTAAGTGCAGAGAGGCCAGGGCCAGCAGAGCCGTGCCACCTCTGCTCAATGCTGACTGACCTCATGACTTCTCAGGGCACAAGGCACCATCGAATGCAATAATGCTATTTGTTTAAACCCAAAAAGAATGACGATTTATTTTCTTAAAAAATAAACTAGAAAATAGAAGCATTATAAGTTAACTATAACTCTTGTTAGAAAGTTACATACATTGGGAACCAGCAGTTAGCGTAATGGCTATGTCGCTGGACTCCCACGTAGTCGACCACGGTTTGAGTCCTGGACCCAGTGGCTTAAACTCACACTGGGCGCGTGTGGGTGTGTGCCCAAGATCCCGAGAGGAGAGTGGAGGAGAAGGGATTGCAGCGTGACCATCCCCCCTGGGGGTTGATCTCTCGCTTTCTGTCTCTATGTCCCTCTCTGTCTGGCGAGTGCACGCACCCTATAGCGAAAACCTCTCAAAAAAAAAAAAAAGGTACATACATTCACTGTGAAAAACAGAAAATTCACAGACATTTTTAACACTAGAACATGAACACCCAAAAGTGAGCTTTACATTAAAACGCCCTCGTTATTAGAGGTAGTGAATGAGATACGAAAGGCACCAAGTCAGAAGGAAACGGCCAGAGTCACGGATTTTACTCTTGCTCTGGCCTAAACCGGGAAGGAGCTGCAGCAACCCCAGGCCCAGGCCCATGGCTGACCCGGCCTACAGCTGCAGAGAGCGGAGAGCTTGACCCCAGGCAAGGGTTTCTGCTGTAACATTCTGCTGACATTGCTGAGGGCTGCAAAGGGAACGGGAGAGAATGAGAAGGGAAGGGAAAAAACTCTAGGAAAGCCTCACCATCACCCCTGCGTACTGGTGATGTGGCCCTGATCAAGCCATTCTCCACATCAGGCTTATGTTATGCCTGTATGAAGTGGGACTGCATCTAAAAATCAAGGTAGTGTAGCACAGTCCACAGCATACTGGACTGCAGAGCTGGAAGTCACAAGGCTGACTGCCAGCTTCAACTCCCAGTCACACGCGCTGGACACACCCGAGGCACTCAAGATCCTGAGGGGCCAGCTGGAGATCACGGCAAGCCGAGACCCTGTAGCTGTTTCTATCTCTCAAGCATGCACAAACTATCATAGAAAACAAGAGAAACGCATGAAACACAAGACTGCAAACCACACGGAACTTCATGAGGATCAAATATACAAGTACTTTGGGAAGCTTTCCGGGCAAGTATCATCCTTCTACTGAAGATATTCTCTTGGGCACTTACAACAGAGCAACAGCACCCACCTCTGTATTTACAGCAGTTTTACCTTTCCCATTCATTTTTAAATTATACTGTGCTTCCAAAAGCAATTTGGTTTCTTCCAAAACTGGAAGATACTGAAGAACAAATAGAAAATGCCTCTGCCCTTTGCAAAATTCAACATGAAAACCTAGAAGTTGATCAATTGGAATACAGTCACAAAAAGAAGTCACTGCTATCAACTTTGTTTAAACTAAAACATAATTTTTACTTTTTTATACAATAAAGAGAAGAAAGCTCACGACGATTACACCTAACAATAACATAAGCTGCACAAGTTGTGTTTTTACCTCCCTAATGGAAGACTATCTGTATGTAGTTGAGTTGTACACTGGATAATTTTACTACCAATAAGGAAAAAAAGGCCACTCAATTCAACCTGGGTTTTTGACATGGACTATATTTCGAATTAGGGTAAAATAGTAGCTTTCAACTTAAGACCACCACAGTATATTGCACATTTGTAAATTTTAACGGACCATCAGACACATCAAACAAGGAAAAACAGTTACTGCCTCATGGGAAAAAAAACACTCACTGGGATAGCAGAGGAATTACTACGCAGAGGCCGTGTACACTGCATAAATTCTCTGATAATCCAGACAGAGCAGCATACACACAGATTAAAAAAAGTAGCTCAGGTAGCACCAGGTGCAGTCGAGGGCCTGCCGCACGAGCCTTATGGAGCGCACTGGCACGTGGGACAGATCTAATATACTCTTCCACTGAGCTACAACAGAAGGATGGGACAGCAGGTGGCATGGCGGTTAAGGAGCTAGACTCCACCATGGCTGACCGTGGTTGGAAGTCTGAACCTGGCTTCTCAGACAGCACTCCAGGAATGTGTGTGCCTGAGAGGAGGATGGAAAAGAGACTGCGGGATGGCCATACCCCAGGGTGAGATTTCTTATCTTCCCCCTTGGTCTCTCTCCAGCAAGCACACATACCCTATGGCAAAAACATTTAAAAAAAAAAAGAGGATGGTTTGAGAGGACGGATGGTTGCAGAAGACAGGCAGGGAGTTTAGATGTGGAGAGTGTTGACGCAGGCAGGATGCAAACAGGCAAACCCTGGAATGAGATGAACCGAGCTACATCAGTGATTCTAAAATATGAATAATAGTAACTAAATACTATGGTCTTACTACTGTGAATAACAATTTTGTTTTAAAATTCTTACTGATTATTCTGTATGGTTCTATGAGGTTCTTTGGGAAATTCCTTGGTTATGTTTCCTGTCATAGTAACTTGTAGGTCTCTAAGTATTATTTAACATCTTAATGTCTTCATTATTTGGCTTCTTTCTATTCTACTTTCTCAGTGGTGTTTTTGTTCCCTTATTCGAATACTATTCTTTGACACTCTCTTTCTGTTCTTCTCATTGTTTCTTTCTTCTTAGAACCAAGCATGTCTTAAATACCTATCATTGAATTTATTTCCCAGATTAAGAAATTCTGGTGGGGGACCAGCAGTTGACATAATGGCTAGGTCGTTGGACTCCCACACAGTCGACTGTGGTTTAAGTCCCGGACCAGATGGCTTAAACTACGCCAGGCACGTGTGCGTGCGTGCACAAGATCGCGAGAGGAGAACAGAGAAGGGATTGCGGCATGGCCATCCCCCCGGGGGGTGATTTCTTGCTTTCTGTCTCTCTGTGTCTGTCTTTCTGGCAAGCACACATACTCTACAGAAAAAAAAAAAAAAAAAGAAAAGAAAAGAAAAGAAAAAGAAAAACTCTCAAAGGAAAAAAAAACTCTCAAAGAAAAAAAAATTCTGGTAATGGAAAAAAAACGACTTTGAGTGTATGACAGGCTTTCCAAACAGCACCACGTGGTGAGTCAGAGAACAGAGAACAGAAGCCTGCTAACACAGTGCCCTGGCAGCCCGGCGGCAGAGGGCAGTCCAGCCCTGCTCAACGTGAGCACAGGCAAGAGCCACTCCTCGATGCAGCCTGAAGACGGTGGGTGTGCTGCTCAGACACTGCATCCCCTTGAGGCTGCATGGAGGCCTGACTTCGATCTTAATCAGCCTAAAGCCCAGATGTGGTGATGCACATCTGCGATGCCACCTGGAGGGCTGATACAGGAAGACTTCGACATGCCAAGACCTACTTCATTTTTAAAAAACTCTTTTTTTAATTTTTAAAGCAAATAAATACATAAACTACGTCTGCAATGTAGAAGCCCATATGAAAACTGTATGAGAATTTTCACTGACAAGTTTTCTGAAATTACAACCAACCATACAAAATACAGATTAAGACCCACTGATATAAAAACTTATTAGTGGATAAATATTTCAAAACATAATGAGGTTTTAAGCAGCATTTTACCTGCCTTATCGAGTTGGATTTTTTTTTTTAAGGTTTTTGCCATAGAGCATGTGCACTTGCTGGAGAGAGGAAGAGACAGAGTGAAAATAAGAAATCACCTCCCAGGGAAATGGCCATGCCACAATCCCTTCCCCACTCTCCTCCTGGGATTCTGGGGGCATTTACACATGCACTGGTTGTGACTATAAGTGGCCAGGTTCAGAACCACAGTCGGCCATGTGGGAATCTCACACCTTAACTACCACACCACCTGCAGGCCCTTACCTGATCAATCTCAAAGACAAAACAGATCACTGTAAGGTCAGCAAGATGGCATGGTGGTTAAGGCAGCAGGACACCACATGGCTGGCCATGCGGTTCAAACAACAGACACAGAAAGCACACGGGGCATGTGCTCATGTGTGTGCCCAAAAATCCCGAGAGGAAAATGGTACAGAAGGAACTGCGCCATGGTCATGCCCCGGGGATAGAGGAGTATGCCTTCTCACTTCCTCTCTCTCTGGTAAGCCCACACACCCTAGAGCCAAAGACGAGGTGATCACTGTACCTGATCGTTACATTTAAAACAGGAAAGTACCTTCACCTTACAAAACTGCTCAGCGAAGTATTTCCTAGTTAGTTCCTTTTTTTTTTTTTTTTTAAAGAGCTTTTTTTCCAGGGAACCAGCAGTTAGCGCAATGGCTATGTCGCTGGACTCCCACATAGTCGACCGCGGTTGGCGTCCCGGACCCGGCGGCTTAAAACTCATGCCGGGCGCACGTGCGTGCATGCCCAGGATCCCGAGAGGAGAATGGGGGA